CACCCCGCCGTGCCTCGCAGGCCTTCGCCCAGAACGTGCTCTCCAAGGCGGACGTGATCCAGGCCACCGGCGACGCCATCTGCATCTTCCGGGAGCTGCAGTGCCTGACGCCGCGCGGGCGCTACGACATCCGCATCTACCCCACCTTCCTGCACCTCCACGGCAAGACCTTCGACTACAAGATCCCCTACACCACCGTGCTGCGCCTCTTCCTGCTGCCGCACAAGGACCAGCGGCAGATGTTCTTCGTGGTGAGGGGCGGCGCGAGGTCTCGCACCACACCGGTTTTTTTCAGGTCCTCGCTGCCTCTTCCCTGTTCAGATCAGCCTGGACCCACCGATAAAGCAAGGCCAGACCCGCTACCACTTCCTCATCCTGCTCTTCTCCAAGGACGAGGACATCTCCCTGACCCTCAACATGAATGAGTGAGTTCTGCTCCTGGCAGGCCGCTGCCTTGACCCCCTCCCGGGCCCTGGGGGCTGTGGGGAGCTGGGAGGGGCATAACGAACCTCCTGGGTTTCTGCTCCCACCGTCACCCGCTCCTCTGCCTGTGCAGGGAGGAGGTGGAGAAACGCTTCGAGGGGCGGCTCACCAAGAACATGTCTGGCTCGCTGTACGAGATGGTCAGCAGGGTCATGAAGGCGCTGGTCAACCGCAAGATCACCGTGCCCGGCAACTTCCAGGGGTGAGGCGCAGCGGAGGGGGGGTGGGTGTGCAGCGTGCCCAGGTGGCCCAGAAGGCCACCGGCATTTGGGCTTGTGTGGCCAGGAGGGCATGGCCAGGGATCGTCCCCCTGGACTTGGCACTGCTGAGGCTGCCTCTCAAATCTTGGGCTCAGTTTTGGGCCCCTCCCTCCCAGAAGGACCTGGAGGGGCTGGAGCGTGGCCAGAGAAGGGCAACGGAGCTGGGGAAGGGTCTAGAGCTGAAGTGTGGGGAGGAGCAGCTGAGGGAGCTGGGGGTGCTGAGCCTGGAGCAAAGAAGGCTCAGGGGAGACCTTCTGGCTCTGCACAGCTCCTGACAGGAGCCTGGAGCCAGGGGGGGGTCAGGCTCTGCTCCCAATCCCATTCTGTGATTCCGTAATTCTGGTGGCAGGAGGTGGGGTCTCCTGGCTGCAGGGGAGGATGTGGGGATGGAGAGCAGCAGTGCAGGGGCAGGAGGAGCTGTTGGTTCAGTGGTCTGAGGCCACTCTCTGAGGTTCCCCTGACTCCAGCAGCGCGACTGGCCCCTCTGCCTCCCATGTCCCTGTGCTGAGGGAAGGGGCTTGGGGAGCTCTGCAAGGTTTCTGCTCATCCCTCAAGTTGGTGGTCAAGCCCAGAGCAGTGTTTGATGTTACCCATTTTACTTGTGTGCTGTTTCTGGGTTTGCAGCAGAGTGATGAATTTAAACCAGGCTTTATATTTTCTGCCTACACTTATGAGAAAAAGAGCACAAAATCTACCCGAAGTGATATTAAGTGGCATCTTGTCTTGATGTATTTTCACTGAGGCTTGGATGCCGAGCTGATGAAATGTCTAAATCAGCTTGG